CAACCTCAGACATTGAAGATTAAATGAGATCATGTATATAAAGTACTTAGCACAAGACCCAGCACATTGAGTTCTCAAGAAATGTCCACTGTTTATTTTATCATTATTAACATGGAGTGTATTTTTCAGTGGGTACCTTGAGGTAGGCTGGTTTCTTGGCTGACCAAGGGCATAGTGGTAAATGAAGGATAGATATGATCAACAGGATCTCATAAAAGCAAAGTAACAGCAATAAAGCTAGAGTCGTTTCAACTGGTTAAATGATGATTCAGTTCTATAAACAACAATGGGCAGATTTCCAGAAGGATCTGATGAACTCTCAAGCATACATTCAGCACAAAAAAAGACAACTCCAACTCATCATAAATTTGATCTACGGCCAAGGTAATTGTGTCCATTATCAAGTGAACGCACATTGTGTTGGACTCCCTGTGGTACAGCCTGTCTTTGGTGGTACTTTGGGTAGTTTCTCTTTTAAAAGGACTCTCTAAGGAAGGTTAAATTAATGCCTTATTTCTCTCTGTATTCATTTTCCTATAGCAAGGAGAGACCTTGGCAATCATTCTGTGACCCTCAGGTCAACAGCCAAAGTAGGTTTGGTCAATATCTGTTGACAATGATGTTGAGGCCGTTTCTGTCACTAGAGATTCTTTTTTCACACTAAGAGCTGGATCCGGACTCTCTCCATTTGTGTGCTCCAACTTTTCCAACTTCACCAAGGCTACTCTGTATCCCTTTTCTCCAGCATGATGAACTTTCATTCATCTGCTCACACCAAGCACAAGCATTCATTTCCTCCAGGATGCTTTTCCTAGTTCTCAAGGAAGAGCGGGAACACCTCCCTCCTCTGGACAATCTGGAATGGTTCTTATTTGTGTCATTGCCTTTATCTTGTTGTAGGGCGGGTGTGTTTTAAAGGTTTTTTCTACTGGTAGACTGTGAACCTCTAAAAGGTATGGATGTGCTTTGATCATTTTTATGTCTCTATGCTATAACAGGAAGGTTTGAGAACAGTGGGACGGACAGTTGTGAGGTTTCTTTGAGCCTGCCTGGGCCACAGTGCCTGTCACACTCAAGACCAGAGTTAGACTCCGGTAGCCACAATGGCCACCACCATGGACCAGCCCCAGTTCCTCCCTGGTTTCCCAGTACGGCATATGCCTGCATTATTATGTGGTCCTTGGAGAGGGTGTGGGTCCCCCAGTGTTCCCTATGGGAACCACAGGTGGGTGCTTTGGGAGATAACATTTAACTGCAGAAGCAAAGGAATTTGATAGATCATGTACCCTCGAGTTGTGGACTAAAATCATACAAATATCTGATAAATGCTCATCATTTGTGCAGGCATTTATTCATTTCATCCCTTCAACAAATATTTATTGAGCACCTTTCAAATGCCAGACCCTGAAGCACAATGACATATAAGTTAGAGGCAGCGTCTGCCATCATGGAAGGTGTTCTAGTCAGGGTGCCAGATAAAAAACAATGCAATACACAGATATAGACACTTATAAATTGTGATCAATATCACAAAGGAAAAAAGGCCAGAGGCTGAGATGGAGAATAAAAGGAATGGAGGGAAAGAAATGCATGTGTGTGTGATGGATTGGTAGATAGGTAGATAGACAGAGACAGATGGTCAAGAGGGCCTTTTAGCAGAGATAGCATTTAAACCGAAACCAAAAGAACAAGAAGGAGATGTGGGTGCAAAGAGCAGGGAGACCAGCATCCCAGGCAGAGGGGACTACATGTGCAAAGACTGTGAGGAGTGTTAGTGAACTGCAAGAAGTCTGATGGGTTTGCAGCACCGTGAGCGTGGCAGAGGGGAGATGGAGACAAGGTTGGCTAGAGAGGGAGGGGTCAGATCATGCAGGGCTTTGTGGCCCGGGGATAGGCAATTGAAGTTTTAGTCCAAAGGCAATGGGAAGCTACTGAAAGACTTTAAGTGGGACAGTGACATGATCCAATGAATGGGTTCCATCACTTTCTCCTCTTCCTTTTTTTTTCTGCCCTGGGCTGTGAATGCAAAGCCAGCTCCTGCAGTGTCTGTCGTGTTGTAAGGGTTTTTCACTGCACACTTTCAGGTGGCCTCAATGTCCTGCCTGTGCTGAGAGGAAAGAGCTGAGCTCTTTGAGCTCAGAGAGGTAGCAGTGCCCCTTGAAACAGGCCAGCTGCCCCCTCTTCCTCCATCATCCTTTGGCCCCAGTGCTGGGTTATTGCGCCACATTGCCTGGTAACCTAGTGTTGGAGAGTCTTCTAGTTTTCCATTTGATTTTAAAAATGAGTGAGTAAGTGCACAGTCAGTATGCAGATAGGGTGAGGGTGCAAAGCGAGTGACAGGGTTTGGGAACCACCGCTCCGGGGAGCGGCTGCAGCTCCGAGAGAGTCTCGGGGCACAGCCCCATCCGAGAGCCCCCTCATTTGCTGTTTGGTGTTATCCTCGTGTTTTTGGAGGTGCAGCCCTGAGGGAAATTTGGGACGGCAACGATGGAAGTGATTTTGGACCTGCAGAGAGGCAGGTCCAGTCCCTGCACTCCTGGCCCCGCCTCGAGGGGCTCCAGTTCCGACCTGACAAACGCGAAAGAGAGAGCAAAGAAGCGCCTTCGTGCCATCTTCATATTCCTTTCCAAACATGTGGATTTAAGCCAGTTGGGTTTAGAATCCGTTCAGTTTGTGTTTTTGCCAAGAGTTTTGTGGGTGTAAAGTTTAAAAATAGCTATGCACACATAGGACTTCTGTAGGGAAATGTGGGTAAATTCTAGGTTGGAAAAAGGTTCTGTGAGCAGGTCCCCGAATGTTTGTAAAGACAGGAAATATCTTAGAGGACAGAGTAGCAACCGCGACTCACTCTGGGTCCAAATCAGGGTGCGCGGGGATCCAAATGTGGGTGTGGATGGGGTGACTCAGAGATACATAAAGGGGGAATTGAAGGCCCAGAAAAAAATAATTAAAATTTTAAAAGAGGTGAGGGAGGAAGAGGGAGAGAAAAGCCCATATGGGCAGGCTAGAAAAGTCAAAGTTTCTTCAGTCTGGAAGCACTCAGGCGACGGCACTGAAGCCGAAAGGAAAGGAAGTGGCTCAGGTTCAGGCGAATGTGGACTTGCGCAGGACGGCCTCGTGAATTGCCCCCCCCCCCCCCCCCCCGGCCCCCGCACACAACTTCTCCCTCTCAACCCTCCAGGACATTTGGATTTGGATTAAATAATCTTCAAATGAGCAGTCTGATCGGGGCAGGGTCCTCTGCCTGGGAATGTGAAAAATGGGGATTTATCATGAAAGGAGCACCAGCTAGGCCCACTGAGGGGCTGTGCCACAAGCAAGTACGTCACTCATTCAGATCTTAGTTATTGAGGTACTGCTTTGGACCAAGGACTAGTTTATGATTTGCTTGGGTAGATAAGACTTGTACCTAAACAACTATGAGACTAAGTGTCCTGTGATCTGTCCGGAGTCAGGGACAACTGCATCTGAGCACATTACGGCAGTGGGATGAGTGTTTCAGCAGTGAGAACCAGCCAGCCATCCTGGAGGAGACAGTGTTGGCACTGGGCTTTGGCGGATGGTAGGATTTTGATGGGCAGAGAGTTGGGGGAACAACCTGAGCTTTGGCACGTGGGTGGGAAAGCACAAGGTGTATTTAGTGGAGAGTTAAGAGCCTGTCTGGCTGGAGTGTAGGAGAGTAAGTGCTAAGATGGAAAAGATGATGAGGCCAGGTGGTGAAGACCTTGACAGTGTGTCTGGGGAGAGGGCACTTTTGCTTGGTGGGCAAGAGGGAGCCATGGGAGGGTTTTGAGCAGGAGGGTGTGCAAAGCATTTTTTTTTTTAATTGGCAGTTGTATGTAGATGGACAAGAGTGGGCAGCTGTTGGAGCCATGCAGATCAGCTGCGAGTCTATAGCCATAGCCCAGGAGAGTGATGACACAGTTCATAACACGCTGGGTAGTGGGCAGACTCCCAGGAGACAAACTCAAGGGTGCAAAAATATTTCTTCATTTTCTTTAAATGAAACTAATTCTGACTCAAAACTATCATCTTGTGTTCTTCTGGGAAATTCCACTGTAATTATAACTGAGGGCTGCTCTCCCCCCACTAGACATACTAGAGTGTAGGAGGATTATATGGTATGTGACATGGGGAAGGGGTCTCTTGTGGCCCTGCTCCATCCTTGCTCTTCAGTCCCGCAGTGTCCACGAGGCCAGTTTCTGCACCATGAACACAAATACCCGGAGAGGCGAAGTGAGTATTTGAATGCCCTCACTTTATGGATGAGGAAACTGAGTCACAGAAGGTATGGAACTTGTCCAGGGCTTCATAGCTGGTAAGGAAGGAGCCAGGATTAGAAGCTCTAATCACTAGTCTGCACCACCTGTGTAGCTAGGGTTGCAGGGAAAGGAAGGAACAGAAGCATCTAGAACCTGGAGAGGATGGATAAGTAGGAGGGGACAGATATGATGTGAAGTTGGAGAACACCCAAAGGTGGCTGGGATTTCCTAGTTTCATTATCTTTATTTTTTAATTATAAAATTAATAAGTGTTTATCATAGAAAATACGTCAAGTGCAAAAAGGAAAATGAAACAGGAAAATGCCACCCATGATTCCACAACCTAGAAGCAAATCTATTATACTTTGACACAATTCTTTACAATGTGTTTTTCTCTGCATTGTTTTACATATTTGAGGCTAATATATATATACACACACACAGTCAGGCTTCCCCCCAACGGTTTGCTATTATAAAATATCTGGGGACAAACAGCTGCCGAAGTCTTTACCTCTGTTTTGGATAGTTTCCTTGAGATGGAGTTCTGAAAAATGAATTATAAGGCATAAACATTTTTTTTTTTTAATGAAATGCTTCATTTAAAGATTTTTTATTTTTTCCTTTTTCTCCCCAAAGCCCCCTGGTACACAGTTGTGTATTCTTCGTTGTGGGTTCTTCTAGTTGTGGTATGTGGGACGCTGCCTCAGCGTGGTTTGATGAGCAGTGCCATGTCCGCGCCCAGGATTTGAACCAACAAAACACTGGGCCGCCTGCAGCGGAGCGCGCAAACTTAACCACTCGGCCACAGGGCCAGCCCCAAGGCATAAACATTTTTAAGGCTACTGATATATCTATTGCCACGTTCTTTCCAAAAACGTTGTACCAATTACTGCTAAAAGCCACGAGTAAACATAAACTGAGTATTATTTCAAAAACTCTTGTTAGTTTGAAAGGTGGAAAGGACCTCTTGCTGTCGAGGCTTTGCCCCTGGATCTCATTTATTTTTCCGAAGGACCCTGTGAAGGAGGCCTGGTTCCTTATAATGTTATTAATCCTGCTGAGATTTTGGTGCCCTCTTATATTTTGCCCTTGAGGTGAGTGCCTCACTTGCCTCACCCTAGACCCAGCTCTGACTCGCTCCACTTTGCAAATGAGGAAATCAAGGATGACAAATGAGGTATCTTGATTAGGGTCACACAGCCAGGAAGTCTCAGTGATGACATTCAGATCCGGGCATGTGTTGACTCTAAAACCCTGTTTCTTTCTACTGTAACTGGTGCTTCACTCCTGGTTTACGGATGTGAATGATGAGGAGAGAGAAGAAATCGTTCACAGAACTGAGAAATCCTGGAGGAGACTGAGCTGGTCCTTTCCAGTGTGTAAGTGTGTGGTGGTACTTTGGTGTGGGTCACACTGATTTGGGGGCACAGGGAAAGCAGACCTGTACACTGTGGGGTATGTAGCAGGAAGGAGCATGACCAGGTGTGAGAGAGGCAGGGCTCCGCATGCGGGGCAGGAGCGGAAGTCTGGGGCACGCCTGATCGAAAGCTCCAGCGTTTATCAAATCTGAGAGCAAAGGTGAGCTGGACCCGGAACAGAACTGTGACAAGGCAGAGTTCCTGGGGATGGTCACACGTGGGTGGGTCACAATCCGGAGCCTGCTGCCAGGTGCCCAGGAGTGCCCACTTCTGTAGCTGCAGCCAGTTAACCACGTCCAGCAAGGACAAAGCTGATAGGGAAACACTCCTGGGAAGGCAGGGGCAGGGCTGTGAGCTCCCGACACTGACCAAAGGAGCAAGGGGTCACTGCAGGTCTGCAGGGCTGGCTTAGGTGATGAGCACGGGCCCAGACTGCCCCTGAGCTTTATGGACAGCCACTGGCACAGGGTGATTTACTTGAATTGGGCACAGGAGGTTCTGTTTGCAGGAAGCAGAACATAAATCCTTGGGGTGGAAATGGGAGGAGGAGTCTTCCTGCCTCACACCTCAGTGTCCTCTGTTGTGCCAGGCTGCATTTTCAGTCTTTAGACCACTTCCAAGGGCAGAGGACCTGGCAGTAGAGCCATTCTACTCATTAGTCTCTTGCTTCTTATCTCATTAGACTCAGACACATCTAATGTGATAAGAAGGGAGCCTGAGGGGATAACGGACAATTCTGGCCCTGGTTGAATAGAGAACAAGGTGAGCTTCTGAGAGTAGGGCAAACCAAGGCAGGTTAGGGGGCATTTGAGATGTTCGGTCAACTGAAGCCTGTAAGAGTTGATTGAAGGTTGGCCAAGTAGCCGTGGATGGGTCGGGTGAATGGGAGTGACTCAGCACAGTGTGGTCTGGCAGCTGTGGGGTGGGAACAGAGCAACCAGCAGGACGGCTGGGTGCCTGGCCAATGAGGCAACAGGACGGGGAGGGGGTGGGGAAAGAGGTGCAGATGCTACAGAGAGCAGTGGTGAAAGGGTCAGCCATGGGCTCCAGGTGGGGCGGGCAGGTCTGGAAAGCAGAAGGAGAGAGGGAGTAGATAGGCAGGAGGATGGTCAAGACAAGGGAGAACAGGGTTCATAGGCTTGAGGGATTGGTGGTGGAGGGAGCAAGAGGGAAGTGGTTAAGGGAGGGAAGCTCAGAGCTGCAGATCTGGGAGAAGGAGCAGCACGCAGCGGTTTCAAACACCAAGGTCTGGCTTTGCTGGCAGTGGCTTGACTGGAGGAAAGAGAAAAGCCAGGGAGGTTGAGGGTGTGAAGATGGAAAGATGATTTCCTGTCGGGTGGAATTCTGTCCAGAGAGACGGTTGAGAGGGGATGGTAGAACTGCTGATTGTAAGGAGAACTTGAAGCCAGAACTTGTCTGCCCTCCCCTGCACCGGGGAGTCTGTGAAGGGGACTGGAGCCTGCTGGGCAGGACATGTGGCCATTCTGTCGCCTGAGGAAGGGAAAAGAACATCAACCTTAATTAATATCTGCTATGTTTATATAATTTAATTCTCTTCATGACTCTCCAAGGTAGGTATTGTTGTGTAAAACACAGATGATGAAACCAAGGCAGAGAGAAGCAGAATAACTTGCCCAGGTTTCACACAGTAAGTGGGGGAGGGTGGTCAGAATTGGAAGCAGGTCCATTGATGTCAACGTCTGAGGCTCCACAGGTAACTGGGGCAGAGGTTAATTCCATTAGGAGGACTATAAAATCTACAGGTAAACGGTAACTAGTACTGATGGCAGTAGGAGGTTAGTTCCGTGATGGAGCGATGATGTCTGTCCCATTCAATCCTGGGTGCCCAGCACCTAGCCCCCTGCCTGACACATAGTGGGCCTCAGTAAATGCTTGTTGAATGAATAAGCAAGTCCACTCAGAGTAATGAAGAAAGAGGTGCAGGGATCCAAATTCCTACCAATTTCCAGGAGTCTCAGGGAGGGGATTTATAACTCATCTGGAAGGGCTTTAAGGTGCCAGATGCCTCTTTTAACCAGGGAGGTCAGAGAATTGGAGTTGACTGAAACCACAGAGCATGGATGAGGGTGGGAAGGGGGCTCCAGTAGAGATGGACTCTATCCACACAGGCTAGAACCATGGGTAGGAGCCTCCAGTTTCTCAGTGGGATGTCAGCCTCACTACCTGCCCTCCACTTGCCCAACTACAGATTTGGCCTCAGGAGACTGGAGGAAGCCAGGCTCCAGACTTTCTGCCGAGGGCCAAATTTCTCTCTCCCCATGGTGCCGCTGGAGATGTCTGGGGAGGCTCGTCCAAAGCTGAGGCTGTGCTTCCTCCTCCAGGTCTTGTAAATTCCATCCTCCAGTCAAGAAAGCTATCAATTTGGACCAAATTAGTAACCCTACAGAGAAAATCCCTGATGAAAATTCCCTTCTGAGAAAGTGATTTTAGAAATCTGTGCTGAGAAAAACTTGGTTTCTGTTGAAGAATGATATTTGAGGCAACGTAAATCACAATGATATGAGACAGTGTTGCTAGATTCTCTGACCATAAACGAGAACTCCTAAGCTACTCATGTTTTCCTTTTTGCTTTGGCTTCTAGGAAATTCACCCCCAGCAGTTATATTTTTCTTTAGGTTGGCATATTCATAGACTCTTTTCTTCTTAGCCCTGATTTTCTATTTACATCGTCTTACGTGGTTTTAATTTCAGTTGCCTCAATATCTTGTAGAAGTGAAATAAATAAATGCAGAAGAATAAAAGTTAAGTGAGTGTCTTCCTCCTGTTCATCCCTGTGGAGTCTTCTTCAATGAAAAGGGCAGTTGCTGACCCTCCTGGGCAAGGCAGCCGCCTGGTGGCACCAAAGCTTTCCCACAGTTGTCTTTAGAGAGGTGATTTGGCCTGAAAGTTTCTGTCCTGCTGGCCATTTCTTGGACTGTGCCACACACATTGCTCCTGTCCAAAATGCTATGGGTTTAGTTCTAGCGACTGGGCAGAGCTGACCTAAGGGAGCCTGGCTGGCTTCTTTCAGATGCTCAACTTAAAAGATCAAAGTTTCAAAAGGGGTGGGGCAACTCTCAACCAGACCAGGCCAGTTGGGGGCTGTGCCTCGTCTATGGAGGCAGCTGCATTTTCCTACCCCATCCAAGGCAACTGCAGGCGGGACCCTCATCACAAATGCAGAGTTTAGGGAGCATGTCACAGGGGCACGGGAAAGGGGCCTTTTCAGCTTCATCCAATGTTCTGGTGACTTCCATGTGAAATGAACATATTGCTCCTGATATTGGGCACATCACTGGACAATGGTCATCATACCTCTAAAATAGAAACCGAGTATTAAAAAGACCCAAGAATGCCAATGTTATCATTCACCTTTGCCTCCATTATGCATTTAGAGAAATTATGTCATTTAAAGCCATTTTGCATCTAGACCTCTATGCCTGAGATTAGTAAAAAGCCATCAGTAGAAGTTGGAAGAATGTAATTATATAAAATCTTTAAATTCAGGCTCTTGACCCCTCATGGATCCATTTGTTATAATAATTAAGCGTGACAGATGTCTCCTTTGAGAATCCATTTTTAGTCACGTCAATTTCTCATGCTATTTTCTCAAGCCTCTGCAGCATCCGATCACCCGTATTTCCAGAGAAGAAAAGAGAAGTGGAATCCTACAAATCATAAGGGGTATTTATGTCCAGACCAGGTGACTATTCAGCTATTCGGACTTGGGATCACTGGCCAGAACTGGTCATTGACATCGTTCTGAGGGTATGAGGATGGAGATGCTCGCCACAGTTAGCTTCATTTGCCCTTAAACATCTCTTCCAGGAATTCTATGTGTCTCCTCAGGTGCCTCTTACCTGTGGATTGGAGACTTCGCTCATCTGTAGAAACCCAAGGAGGGGGATGAGAAGATCCCTGCATTTCTTGTGACTTCCTTGGGGCTGAAGATATCAGCCACGGGCTCAAGGGTCTTCCTGATAAAGGTAAACATTTGGTCTCCTTGGGACGCACTAAACAGTGCAGTCTGACAGACTTCCATGTGACTGTTCCTCCTGCCTCCAGGCTTCAGGGCTCAAGAAGCACCCTGCACTACAGTCCATTTTGTCCAACAACACAGTAGCCTTCCCACCATCACAAAAGTTTCTTCAGTGGCTCACCACCCCACATCCACAGGTGACCCAACTGAGGTGACCCAAAATGATTTCTGTAGGGCTCAGCAAGTCAGTTAGGGATGGACTGAGAAACACTTGATCTTTAAAGCAGATACTAGGTGGTATTTAGGGTAGGCCACAGTGGGACTATGAATGGTAATCTGGGGAGTCTTATTTGGAAAAGAGGCAAAGAAGGGATGGGCTGTGAACTAGACCAGGCCACTTACCAACAGGTCAGTGCCAGGGGGAAGTGCAAGGTCAAGGAGACAAGAGGCTGGGTTTCATTAAATGACAAAAAACTAGGGCTAAAATCTAGATTTCCTACATCACAGAGCTGAATCTAGGAGGGAAATAATTTATGAGACAACCTCAGTGTTTTTTAGTTGGACAAATTTATTGAGCACCTGTAGTATGTCAGCATCTATCACAACAATAATAATCCAAAAGAGTTGAGATTCACCAGTGGGTGTCAGGAGCCCTCTTGGATGAGGAAAATGCTAGGGTATGGCCAGAAATGGAAGCTAGTGCTTTATCAGTAGTGTCTCTGTGACTCCTTCTCCACAGAGTGACTGCCATTTCTGACCATAGCATGAGAGCAGAGGGGAGGACCTGAATGTGGTCTGTAGTGGGCTTCCTTCCCTTCTCCTCTTGTGTTATGGGAGCATCTTGCATTTTCTGCTCTTGAATGGTGTTGCTGACATCCTTGGGTTCAATCAGTTTGGTAGACTGGACTGTGCCAAGGTGGGTTGCTGAGAAAGAGTGGGACCAGAGAGCATTAGAGTTGAGCTCTAAAGCAATCCTGGGGGTGCATGCAAGTACACTAAACTAAGGGTACTGATTAAGGGTAAAGGCAGGAGGAGCCATCACTTGGCAGTTGGTCCACTTGTTTGTGCCTCATTGACTTTCGCTACTCGTGAGCTTGCCCATTCCTTGGAGGCTGCATCATCACCTCTGAATTTTCTCCTTTTCCCTAATGTTAGCACGCTGCTTTTCATCATCAGCTGTTGACTGCGTGTCACATTTCCAGGCAGGAGGTGGACACCTAGTGGCTTTCTAGGAGTCATCCCTGCAGAAAGAAGCCTCTCACTGTTCTAAGCCCTGTAGTTCTGGAGTCATTGGCGTGACCTCAGGAGCCCACTTTTTGGCCTCTTGCACCACAGCAATTGAGAGCTGCAGACTTAGATTCTCTATTGTTGACTGTGACTGAGATCTTGAATCCACCTCAGTCTAGCAGAAGGACTGGCAAACTATGACCTTGGGCCAACTCTGGCCTTCCACCTGTTCTTGAAAATAAAGTTTTATTGGAATTCAGCCACTCCCATTCATTCACATATTGCCCATGCTGCTCTCATGCTGTAACAGCAGAGCTGAGTAGTTGCAACAGAAACCATATGGCTGGCAAAGCCTAAAATATTTATTATCTAGCCTTTTTCAGAAAAAGTTTGCTCAATCCTGGTCTAGAATTATAAGAGACCATATTTTTATTTACTTAATTTAGAGCAGAAGATTATAATTCAGAGTCCTGGAATATCCAGGATATTTGGGGCAGGATCTAAGGCTTTCATTACAGGGATGGGAAAGACTTGAGGCTTCAGCTCAAGTCTGATGATTGGTAACGGCTGCCTAGCGGGCTGTTGAAAAGGATTCTGAGGCTGTGTCTGGGCTGGTGTGGGCTCTTCTAGCGAGGGGAAAACAGAGCCATGAGAAATTCAGGCAAGGAGCACCAGACTGGGAAATGAGCAAGACAAATCCACTCTCTTTCCCAAACATAAATAACATCCAGGGACAGCTCGGCACTGCCCCCGATGCCAGCACTTGGCATTGCTGAGGTTGGCATTGTAAACATACCCTTACTGGAGTGCGAGAGAGGTGAGACTCAAATACTGTTCACACTGTGACAGAGGCAGACAAGAGGCAGGAAAAGCCACGGTGGGGGCTAGAGCTCCAGCTTTAATTAAGGCTCTTGTGCACTCACAGAAGGCTGGCAATGCAACAGTGTTCAGGACAGCATCCCGTGTAAAGCTTTCCATTTGGAGAAGAGGTGGCATTTATTAACCTGTGCAATGGAAATGCCAGTTAAAATGTTACAAATTATTTAAAAATGAAAAAGACAGAGTGTACATGATGCACATTTACTGGAGAAAACAGTAAAAAATGTGACACACACACACAGTCCTTAGGTTGTGGTTTTTAAAATGGAAGGATCTTAAGACTACCCACTATGTCTACTATTCTGTCACTCTGTAACTCCAACGAATGATTCCGCCCCAGTAACCCAAATAAATCCAGGTAGCGGCGTGGCTCCTACAGATCCTCACTTGTTACAGTAGGTGGGTTGTTGAAAGGTGTATGCAAATCTAGTTTTTGCAACTCAAATCACATTTTAAATGCACCAACAGTCTGTTACTCATACTAAATCCCTATAAAGCATATCAGCCACTTTTGTGAAAATCCAGATTTTCAGAGGTTGCATGGTTTCCAGGGGTGGTATTACTGTAGTCTGATATATGTTTACTGTCTTATCACGCTGATTTTTACTGTAAGCAGTACTTGGAAATTCTTAGGGCCACTGTTCCCTGGAAGGGGCACATTATGCTATTGTGCACTAGTCTCTGGCTCAGGTCATTTAGGATCTTTCCGACATTCAACATTTTGGCCTTAATTGTTTCTCCTTCACAGCATGAAAAATTGCCAAATCAGCTCCAGCTGACTAGGTTTTCTTTTCACTTCAAATAATCATATGAAGCATTTAAATTGTATAAGCACACTAAACCATATCTCAAATGGAATCGAGTATTCAAAAAAAATCTATTTTACAACTTAAGTTTGCTGAAAATTTATTTGCATAAAAACGCCAGTATTTTCCCACCAAGTCCCTAGAAAATACCACCTCTCAGTAAGAATCGGAGGAATGGCAACTGTGCTAACGATCCCCGTGAAACGGGAAATTAGATCCCAGACAGACCTGGGGGAGCGGGGCTGAGAACTTGGGTGGCATTCAGACTCCAGAAGGACAGTGGGGCCTGAGCCTGTGTGTCTGAGCTTACTTGAAAAACAAGAGTAGAGGGTGCTCAGATGTAGAATTCCTCCGTGTCATTGTCCCCAGGTCCAGGCAATGCTGGAGGTGGTGGGTCGTCTCTGCCAGTCTGCTTGGCGTTGGGAGCCTCACAAGGGAGCTCTGGGGATGACTCTGTGAGTGAGGAGGCGCCGGAAGCTGGGGGAGCAGCAACAGCTGTTGCCGAGGAGGTGGGAGGCCCTTTGGTGAAGAAAGGGAGGGAAGCCCAGGAGGTCTCTGTGGCCACCCCACTCCCAGTGGGCAGTGGTCCTTCTCTGGAACCTTTGTGCTTTGACCAGTGGCTGCTGCATCTTTCGGAGGTGAGGGATGTTTCCACAGTGTCGCAGAACCTGCTAGGTGCAGAATACGCAGAGACCACAGAAAGGTCTGAGGAGGACAGCCGTAGGCCCGTGTCCACGTCTGTCTCCTGGGCCCCCTCTAAGTCATCGATGGAGAAGAGCTGGCTGTGCCTCCACTCCGATGCCCTGTGCCCTGGGGCACCTGTGTTTGAAAACCACTGTGGTACAGCTGAGGAGGCTGGGGAGGGGTCTCCTGTAGGCAAACAAAACAAGGACTTGCTTCTCTGAAAAGACCATGGGAGGCTGGGAGGGACGCTGGCTCGTCTGGCAAATTCCTGCTGGTGCCTAGTAGGCAGGCCCGTCTGGCTGAGCCCTGGGTGTGAACTGTCCAGGAGCGGCTGCTGGCTGCTGCCAGGTGTACAGCTCAGTGCAGTGGCGCTCGGGGAAGGCATGGAATCAGGTTTCTGCTCTGAGTGGTGAGCTCTGCTGGGTTTGGGAAACTTCTTGTGTACCTTTTGTGCCTGTAGGGGAAAGAGGACATATCACGTTAGTGCAGGACTGGGGGGTCACCCGGGGCACAGGGATTCATTGTTAAACACATCATGAAACAAACTTTAATAACTGGAAACTTCCAGCAACGCTGTGGCAATAAAACATTAGCAGAACTTTCATTCTCCAAACTATAAAGCAGGCACAGAGTTAGCAGAGCTTGGGGGAATATGGACCAGACTTCTCAGTCTGAGACATCTCTGAACCTAGGAGGGGAAGCAGCCCCTTGTCACAAAAGGAATGACACTTCAGGTGCACACGCAAGGGTGCTCAACAGATTAGCCGCAAGAATGAGGGCTGGCTGAGCATGACAGAGGAGATAGGAATTACCATGAAAGGTAAGAAGAATGCTTGAAGGGTTTGTTCCCCTCCAAGCAAAGCACCACTGTTTGGAAACGTTATTGACAAGAGGATGGAAGTGATCAGGCTGGGGCATGCAGACTATCTCAGATCAGATCAACAAGGGACTTGATTCCAGGACACGTGTGATGGCCAGGACATCCTAGGGGTGACCCATGGTTTAGGGAAGTAAATCTTCAATGAGTGAGGGGCTATCAGGAGATTAGCACTTATTTATTTGCTATTAGGAACCGGACTCCTCTCTACATTGTGCCCTTCAGAAACTGTGCAGGAAAGGGAGCTGGTGACTACTGACTAAGCCCTTGGATGCTCCAGGGGGCAGGGACAAGGAGTTTCCCCTTTCACATTTCACCCCTGTCCTCCTGTTCTCCCCCATCCTTACTACAGCTCCCCAGGAACCTGATTCTGTTGCACAAAACTGGGGGCCTCTCTTCCAATGCACATTTCCCACCTGGGTCTGCTTCTCTCAGATTCTCCCTCTGGTCTGGCTCCGTGCCCAAGCCTGCAGGCCAACCTTTCTAGGCAAAGTTTCAATTAAATAATGGATTTGGGGACAGTGGGTCTGGCTCTATTTAGTATAGGATCACCTGATTTATGAATCCCTGAAATAAGAAAAGGATTCTGAGTGTGGTTTGCTATAAGGGCTATTTCCTGGCACCCAGCCGGCTATGAGAGACACTTGCCCTTCCTAGATAACAAACACCCCTGCCTCCCTGTTAAACAGGAAGCTGGTTTCCGACAGCCACTTGGAAAGCTTGGTTCAATGTACTACACATTTATTGTGTACCTATTACAGGTAAAGGAGGGGAAACCACAATGAGAAGGACTCAGAAGGACATGAAACTTACATTTCATCCAAAGGATAGAAAACAAAAAGAAAAAACCCCAACAAGAGAATGTGATGACAGGCACAATAATAGAGCTAGGAGGGAGAGACCGCGCCTGTCCTGTGGGAGCAGAGGAGAAGTCAATGGAGGTGGCTCCATTGGGTGAGCCTTTGAGAAGGGCAGCTGTCCTCCTAGTGGATGGCACGGCTGGAGAGGAGGCTGTGTAGGAGAGAGAGTCCAACACAAACACAGGCTGACTGTTGGCAGGTAAGCAAGGGACTTACGGGGGTCAGTGGGCAGTTTGGCTTGATTAGAGTCCACGTACATGAAAAGCAGTGATGGAAGGTCAAGTTAGGAATGGAGTCTAATGCCATCTTGGTCAAGGAGGCCTTGACCACGTAGGTAAGAAATCCCCACACTTATCCTTCTGCTGGGGTCATAGATAATCTTAATTATGTTTTTCCTATATGACCATTCCTTTCATTGACTTCTAAGATCTTTGTTTGCCTAATTCCAGATATCTCTTAATCTTATAAACAGACTGACTCATTCTTTCAACCAACATTAACTGAGGGTCTTTTATGCAGAACTTCCCAACTGGTGTATTTCAGCCTTGAATGGATTATTAAAGGTGTGGGTCAATTCTGGTGGTAGGAAGACCATTTAGAAGATACTGCAGTAGTCTTTCACTTTTTAAAATTTGGGACAAATGCGTCACATTTTCAGTTGCTCGCATGAGTTTCTTCTCAATCACTGATTCAGATATTCAGCATTCTCTGTCCAAGCTTCCTGATCTTCTCCTTAATCCTCAGTCTTTACATTCTGTCGGTGGGAGGTGTGTGTGCGTTTGTCCCCATGATGTGCTGATCCTATTCCTGCCCTTCAGGCTCTGTACAGCACATTGAAACTCCCAAGTCGTTCTGCCAAGGGTGGCTTAAGGAGCTAAAAGCGAAGAGCAGCAATTAAAGAGATTTATGATGGTCTGAATTATACGTCCTTAAAGAATATGATGCAAAATGTTCGTACAGGTTGTAACTGGGTAAGATATGATTCTTCTAAAGACCACTCTCCACAAGGCCATTCTCATCAAGACACATCTGTCCGGAGCAGCCTCAGATTTGATGTGCATGGGGGACCTAGCGGAATATGGTGAGGAAGGTTCTGAGGTGAGCTGGTTCCTCCTGGCGAAGGATCCACTCACCAGGGCCTTCTGCTCTGTGCTCCACCATCCCCCAGAACCCCAACCCTACCCTTCTGACTCCCAGTACTGCTCTGGCAAATGACCTATGATCTCTGCAAAGCTCTGTGCTCCACGAGGGAGATCCTGCTCAGCACATGTCCTGCCCAGTGCCTGACATAGTAGAGGAGCTTAAGCATGAATGAAGAGTCACCCCTTCGGGACGGGGTAAGGAGCAGCCTCAGAAGGCCCAGGTGTGCCTGAGAGGTGTCACAGCCGGATGGCTGTTGAAGAGACAAACTAACTTTCTCAATTGTTTGAGTTTGGCTAAGTAAGAGAAAATAACTTCTGAAGCTCTTTAAAGAAGGAAATCCTTGGGTATGGAGGCTGCTTCCAGGAGGAGACAATGTTGATTAATTAAAATGTCTATCTTATTGTTCCCAAGGGCCAATTCCCCTGGGGACCCCAATGTCATTTTCTTCCTTGATAAGTATGCACCACCCTGTACCTGCCATCTTTGACGTCTTACTCGAGGAGCATGCTCTTGGTGAGCATGACTGCAGTCTGCATCTGCCTGAAGCCTCTGTGAGCACTGCTTCATGAGAAGCAGAAGGCCAAGCTTCCCATGCAAGGAACCGCTAGGGGACAAGTGGATCTTTCCACTGTCAGGGACAGAGCAGTGTTAAATTTGACTTAAAATCAAGAACTGGTCAAGGACGAATACTTGGTTGTTTTGCAGAGATTTTCATCACTGTGCTTGTTTAACGGAAACACACCCGTGCTCCATCTTATTTTTACTGCATCATGAAGGCAGGAGTCTAGATACATCCTAAACTCTGCTGCTTTGAAGAGAGATGACACCCAGTGTTTCTCACCAGAGGGGTGCCCATGTGCACCATGGAGGTGCCTGCTGGGCAGGTGGGATTCCAGCTGGCACAGCGCTGGCTGGCAACAGTGCAGGACTCTGGGTGGGGAGTTGGAGGAGGGTGGCTGCAGAGCCTCCGCACCCCCAGCTCTCGAGTTGGGCCCTGGGCTGATGTGCATGGGCATGTGCCCGCAGTAGATTTGCTGGTATTCTCCAGCTCTGTCCAGAGGCAGAAAAGGCAGCTTCCAAAAGCGGGGTCTTGTCTGTCCTAGAGACAACTTGCACATGCAAAGGATGGAGATTCTTTCTGCCCCCTTGCCCTGGCGGGGGCTGTTTCTGGCCTCTCTTGTCTGCTTGTCTGACTTTCCTGGGAAGACTAGAGGCTGAGAATGAATCACTGTCGGAGTTTCAGGACACTCTTGCCCCGTGGACTCTTCCAGAGTGAAACAACACTGCATGCCCTCCTCCCACGGAAGCCTCCTCCCACCCTGGCTTTCAGCTCTCAGGCTGCCCTCCGGAGCCTCTCCCAGTGACAGCAGCAGTGTGCTTCAGCGTCGGCTTCCCTTCTCTTTGAAGCAGTGCAGGGTAGCTGACTCACTGGAATCCAGTAGTTCCCCTCTTGGCTATTTATGGCACTTTCTCTAAGGAACAGAATAGCGTTATATAAGTGAATCTGTTTAAGGCAACAGCCAGGGAGATCTGGTTACGTCTCTGAAATCACCAAAAAATAGAAACGCAGTAATGGACTCATGAGCTTCTCGTGCAGCTTCACGCGCAGGCAGTCTGCAGTTGGGGAAGTAAAGAGGTCTGAGCCGCAGCGTCTTTCTCCAGGATCTGGGCGTCAGTAGGATCACTCCCTGGCACATGGATAGACTCCCGAGGAAAGGTGATTCAGCCCCTGGGCGCCGTCTCATGGGCGATTCATGGCCCTCACCCTCACACCTCCTCTTTCCTACAAAGGTCATTTCCTCTTGTTCTGTCCTTGGCAGAATCACAACTAGTGTGGCCTTGTCTGCTGTGTAATGAGCCAGCAATGGACCTTTTAACCCAGGGACTACTAAAAATTAGGGGCAGTCTCAAGGAAATTGGGCAGTGGGTTCATATGAGAAATCAGATTTTTGTTCTGAAGAAAAACATCACATTTTTCTTCTCCTGTCACTGTCCTTTGGGTAGTTTTCATATACCCACTAAGAATACTGCCCCCAGGCAAAGCCAATGTTGTCTTTTAAAAAAATTAAAAAATTTTTTTCATTAAAAAAATTAAGGAATTATATTGAGATATAATTGACATATTAGTTTCAAGTACAACAATGATTTACTATTTGTATATATTTTGAAATGATCATCACAATAAGTCTAGTTAATCCATCACGATAATTTTTTTCTTATAATGAGAACTTTTAATCTATTCTCTTAGCAACTTTCAATATACAAAACAGTATTATTAACGCTAGTCACCATGTTGTACATTACGTCCCCAGGACTTATTCATTTTATAATTGGAAGTTTGTACCTTTTGATTGCCTTCACCCTTTCACCCTCCACCCCCACCTCGGGCAACCACCAATCTGTTCTCTGTATCTGTGAGTTGGCTCTTTTTTTTTAATGTCACATATAAGTGAGATCATACCATATTTGCTTTTCTCTGTCTGACTTATTTCACTTAGCATAAAGCCCTCAAGGTCCATTCATGTGGTCGCAGATGGCAGGATTTCCTTCTTTTTCATGGCTGAACAATATTCT